ATCCCACCTACGCGCATTCCGAGGAGGAGCCAGAGCCAGGAGACCTGGAGATGGACTGTCCAATCTCTGGGGCAGAAGATTCTGAGGTAGTCAAAAAACTACACAGCGGCGGAGCCCCGGGGGGTGGATGAGATTCGTCCTGGGTATCTCAAGGCTATGGATGTGGTAGGGCTGTCGTGGTTGACACGTCTCTGCAACATTGCGTGGTCATCGGGGGCAGTTCCTGTGGAGTGGCAGACCGGTGTGGTGGTCCCCATCTTTAAGAAGGGTGACTTGTGGGTGTGTTCCAACTATAGGGGATCACACTCCTCAGCCTCCCTGGAAAGGTCTACTGCAAGGTACTGGAGAGGAGGGTCCTCTCCAGTTGAATCTCAGATTGGGGAGGAGCAATGTGGTTTTTGTCCTGGCCGTGGAACCTTGGACCAGCCCTATACCCTTGCAAGGGTGATGGAGGGGGCATGGGAGTTTGCCCAACCAATCCACATGTGTTTTGTGGATTTGGAGAAGGCTTATGACCGTGTCCCCAGGGGCTCCCTGTGGGGGACGCTCCACGAGTATGGGTTGGGTGGCTTTCTGTTAAGGGCCATTCAGTCCCTTTACCAGAGGAGCGTGAGTTTGGTCCGCATAGCCGGTAGTAAGTCGGACCTGTCCCCGGTGAGGGTTGGACCCCGCCAGGGCTGCCCTTTGTCACCGGTTCTGTTGATAACCTTTATGGACAGAATTTCTAGGCGCAGCCATCGTGTGGAGTGTGTCGAGTTTGGTGGCAGGAGAATTTCGTCTCTGCTTTTTGCGGATGATGTGGTCCTCCTAGCTTCATCCAGCTCTGACCTTCAGCTCTTGCTGGGTAGGTTCGCGGCCGAGTGTGAAGCAGCTGGGATGAGGATCAGCACCTCCAAATCTGAGACCATGGTTCTCGACCAGGAAAGGGTGGCTTGCCAACTCTGGGTCGGGAGAGAGGTCCTACCTCAACTGGAGGAGTTTAATGGGCCATTCCCATCTGTACTGGGTCGGCACGGGCCGGGTAGCGTAGGTTGTTTACATATCTGGGTGGCCTGGTATTTTTCCGGGCCAACCAAGGCTCATTCTCAGCCCTCTTCTCGAGGGGGTCTGCTTCAGGCCGACCAGGGCCAACACACCCACTGCTGACATCAAATTCACACCTTCCATTAGAGCAAGCCTCTGATTGGTGGGTAGAATCAGCCCACATGGGCTTAAGACAAGGATGTGTGGAATCAAACGGGCCAGGCTGGGGCCGACTGGGACTACCCGGCCTGGGCCGAACCGGTACAGATGGGAATGGCCCATTAGTATTTTGGGGTCTTGTTCACGAGTGAGGGTAGGAGGGATCTGGAGATCGACAGGCGGATTGGTTTGGCATCTGCAGTGATGCGGACGCTGAGCCAATCTGTCGTGGTGAAGAGGGAGCTGAGCCAGAAAGCCAGGCTTTCGATTTACCGGTCGATCTACGTCCCAATCCTCACCTATGGTCATGAGATTTGGGTAATGACCGAAAGAACCAGATACAAGCGGCCGAAATGAGTTTCCTCCATAGGGTGGCCGGGCTCAGCCTTAGAGATAGGGTGACGAGCTCGGACATTCGGGAGGGACTCAGAGTAGAACCGCTGCTCCTCCGGATCAAAAGGAATGAGTTGAGGTGGTTTGGGCATCTGGTCAGGATGCCTCCTGGACGCCTCCCTGGGAGGTGTTTTGGGCATATCCTGCCGGCAGGAGGCCCCCGGGTCGACCCAGGACACATTGGAAGGGTTACATCTCCAATCTGGTCCGGGAACGCCTTGGGGTCCTGCCGGAGGAACTGGTGGAGGTGGCTGGGGAGAAGACGGTCTGGAGCTCCCTAGTTGGGATGCTGCCCCTGCAACCTGGATCTGGATAAGCGGAGGAAGACGATGACGACTTAAAAAATGACAGCCTACTTAACGAGCGCCGGCTTTTAAATTTGATGGCAAGCCGTCCCCGTTTCAGTAGCATCTAATCCATAACTTGCATTTTGTGGAAGTAAACTAAAAATCTGATTATTGCACAAATCATTTGACAAACGTGTTCAAGTCTGAACTGGAAACACACAGATTCATTTCGGTTATGCAGCATGGATCCCCGTGTCTGTGAACGCAGCAGCTGTTTCTGCAGCAGGTGGATGGAGACATGCTAATAAAGAAGACGGTAACATGGTTACACAGACCTGGTTTGAGTTTAAAGAGGCTGATGTTGAGTAGAAACACATCCTCAGTTAAATATTCTGGGTGACTATCTGTGTAAAAGCACGTTATCGCAGATGAGATGAGATGCGGTTCGTTTATTAACACATGATGAACACTGGCTTCCAAACTTTCTGAACATCTCCTGTTTTTTAGTTGGAACCAAAATTTCTCAACAGTTTCAGATAAACCCCCTCCCACCCCGCTCAGCGCTGCACCCAGCTGTCACATCAGACCCGCAGATCAGCTGATCAAGAGGCAGAGACAAGGATAACCCTCCCTTATTTTAATATCGTCAACAAGAAAATGCAGCAAAGCGTATATATGCAGTTATTTACAGAAGAAAATGTAACTTCTATGAGCAAAATAAAATCATTAAATTGATTAAATGAATCGGGAAAGCAGGAAGAATTGTTTTTTTTTTTCAGTTTTTACATTTTTCATTTCGTTTCATGACGTTTGTTCACAATTTTTTTTTCCGAGAAAGAAAACTGCGCATGCTCAGCCTATTTAATCTGATTTAATAATTGATGCATAAAAACTAACGGCATGATCAGATCTTTTCAGTTAGTGTGCATGTAAACATAGATTTAGGTTTCAATCAACCTAGATTTGAATCGGATTGGGGAAATTTGGTAGCCTGGTCTGCCAGACTCGTCCTCTGATTAATTCTGCACAGAGAAAGAGTCTGGTAACTCACAGGCAGAGAGGCACTTGAGGGGCGGGACTAGGCAGCTAAAAAATAACCAATCAGAAAAAAGATGGAAATGCCGATTGTACCGCGCAACGCTGTAGTTTTTAGCTGTAGTCAAAAATGATGTCTGGCGATAGCACAAGCATCTTAGTTTTGAAGAAAGGCTTTTAGCGCTTCTACTTGTGGTTTTAAATACGTGTCTAGGGTTGTCACGGTAACCGGTGTAGAGGTAAACCCCGGTAAAAAAGTTGACAATAATAATAACCGTCTTGTTTTTCAAAAAATATATTATCTCGGTGGATTACCGTGGCTGCAGTGTAGGCGCGGTGACCCTCACCAGCCACCGTATCATCTGCTGAAGTTGCCGGCGGCACATGCGCACTTTGTTTACAGCCAAAACTTTCTTGAAGCCAAAGCTGAAATAATGGCCAAAGGAGGAGGCGGCAGCACTCAGGACATTTACCATCCCTCAAAGAAGACAAAGTGGGAAGTACGGGCATTTTTGGGATATTTGAAGAATGCCGAGGGACAGTTGATAGAAGACGGCTATCCTGTTTGCAACACATGCAGAAAAAGTGTCTGTGAAAGGCAGCAACGCTTCAAATCTCATGACACATCTGTGTGACCATCACCCACAACTCTACAGTCAACGCAAGGCAAGTTAACGTTAGCGTTTTAGCTAAAATGTGTGATCCGCGGATTTGGGTTGAGGGAGAATGCAACGAGTCGCTATATAAAGCAGCCGCAGCGCCTGCTACCTGCATATAAACCGTGTCGAGGACACCCCCATGTTGAAATGATGCTATGCATTACGGGGCTGCCAGGGGCAGATAAGAGTTGGTCTCTCTCCGAGAATAATTATGAATTTAACAATGATTACTGCCTGATGACATTTTCCCACATCTGCAAAGCTCACTGGAAGGACACAAACCGAGGACAATATTTTCCTGATATAGGGTTTATTACTCAAGTAAGGGTAAAAAAAAGTATCTGATTAGAAGGCTACTTGAGTACTGAGTATCATCTGATCTAATATTTTTAAAATGATGACATCAAACAGAAAAAAAAAGAAGTTATGGGCAAATATTGGTATTTAAAAGACTAAAGGGGAAAAATGTAAACAAATAAACAACATTATTACAAAATAACACATTTTAGGCTAAATTTAGACACAAACTGAGGACAATATTTCCTGATATACAGGGTTTATTTAGTTGTCTGAAAATGTAACACGTTTAAACAAATACAGCGATAATACCGAAAACCGTGATAATTTTGGTCACAATAACCGTGAGGTTAAATTTTCACACCGTGACAACCCTAGATGTGTCCAAGTCATTTAGAACAGAGGAAAGAGCTGCAGCGAACTCTGCTTAGGTCGCCATGTTCAACAAGCTCAGTGTGTGACATACGCTACTCGGCGCTGATTGGCTCGGTTAGAATTCTCAGGGGGTGGGGTTATTTGAATAGGAGAGTTCCCAGACCCTTTCTCTGTGTAGAATTAAACAGAGGAGGAGTCTGGCAGACCAGGCTAGAAATTTGGCGCATGTAAACATGGCTATTGTTTATTTTAGGTGTTTATAACTTCCACTCTCATAAATCCTGTTAGATTATAGCATATAGACCAGTTATTATGTTTGTTGTCTGCAGCCATTGGTAAATACAAACATAACATATTCTGTTTAGAAAAAATTCTAGTTTAGACCTTTAGAAAAACCTAAAAATCCTTTAAACACCAACTGCTTTCAGTTGTTTAAGCAGCTAAACACAACAGTAAAGCTGCCATTGCTGCCCTTAGTTAATGTGAAAATGTGCTTGTTCATAAGAACCATTCAGAGCTATAAAGACCCGCCTCCTAATGACATCAAACTCAAGTAATTCATTCTTTTCATTATATATATTTTTCTTTTTGACCAAATTTTGTCATTTCCACTTCTTATTGATTTACCATTCAGGTTATTCTACAGTTTCTATGGCATATCATTGAATGTCTTTGTTTTTACTGGTAAATTCTTAATATGCAGCATTTTAGTAAAACTGACAACAGCAACTCTATATTAGACTTCTCTAGTTATATGTGAGTATTCGCATACCTCAGAGCAGTCACAACTTGAGCTTCATCGTTGGAGGTTTGACACAGAACCTCCAGAGCTTTCATGGCTGCTTCCTGCTTTCCATTCTGCCACAGGGAAACACACATCCTCATCATCACTAAAACACATCATAGGGAGGAAGAGCTAATATGGCTGCTGCCCAGCAGAACTGCTGACAGGTGTTGTAATAAAATGAAGCAGAACTAAACAAAGGCAGGAGCCAGGCCGTAATGCTAAATAGAAGAAATAAACCAATTCTTTTTTGACTGAAGCAAGTGAGTGTTGAGATTGGGTCTACCTCCAAAGCAATCTGAGCAGCCAGACTGAGGAGATAAGAAGCTGCTGTGTCAGATACCAGCAGTTTGTCCTCCTTACATAACGGACTCTTGGACAGAAGTCCCATCGAACTCAGCGCCTCTGCAGCTGGGGCAAACAAGAAGCTTCATCAGCACAAACTATGATGGCAAAACAATCAGCAATAACTATGAATTAATGTCTCTCCTGTGCGGGCATGTTGATACCTTTCTCTGTGTTGCTCTCCAAAATAGCAATCTTGTAAATGCCGAACAGAGTAAAGATGCTTTCAGGATCGCACCTTTCTGCTTCTCTGATGGCGTCTTTGGCCTGAGAACGCATGTTTTAATATGAATGCAAACATAACGTCACTACTGCTTTTGCTGACTTGGCCTGCTGCTAAAGCTTTACCTTCTCCAGCTGCTGAAGCTGCAGAAAACAGGAGGCTCTGTTCCTCTGCAGTTTGCCTAAGTTGGGCTCTATTTGACCCGACTTAAAGAAACTCACAGAGTAGTTGTACCACTCAAGAGCCTCAGCATAGTTACCTGCCTGGGGGGAGTGAAGGTAAACTACCATCAACATGTTTGCTTCTGTCTGCATCAAACACATCTGTTAATAAACAATTATCTATAGATGCAGTTGTTCACATCTGCAGTAACATTTAAAAGCAACACGCAGATGAAAGAGAACACCATTTCTCTTATTGTAGTGATGGAAATGAGTTGCTATGGTCGGAGTACATAACATTTATTTTTGAAAAAAAAAAAATCTGTTTAGCACACCTCGTAGTGTTTAGATCCCTGATCCCACAGCAGGACATGCAAACATGAGAGGGCCTCTGGAGCCAGCTGCTTACCGGTATAGTGACCTGTGAGAGTAGAAAAATAAAATACCTTCAGTGCATGTCCAGGATTTGTAATGGGTTACTCAATTTTTGTTTTTCTAAAGTGACTTTTATAGAAGTCACTACAGAACTGACCAGTAATGATGTTTTCTGTCTTCTGTTTGGCTAGCAGTTCCTTGCCTCTCTGCAGCAGCAGCTCAATATGCAGCACAAGAGCTGATCCCAGGTCAGGAGAAGACTCAAAGTGCTGACACACACGTTTCAAATACTCAAATGCCAGCAGATCTCTAAAATAACCCAAACACATATCAGCTGGAGTTAGATAGTGGATGTCTAAGGTTTCTGACAAGACACAAATATTGTAAAAGCGCACACGTTTGAGTGTGTGAGCATGCTGTGCATTTACCTAGAGGAATCACTAAGAGCTGTTTAAGGGTTAGTACCTGTCTTCAACCATGAGTAGTTTCACGATGCTCAGACACACTTCAAGAGAAACCTGAGATTCAAGCATCTCAATAAGTCCTGAAAACACATGTTTCACTTTAAAAATGTGCATTTCTAACACAGCTAAGGTATAGTTCACTGAAAACCCATTTTTAATGATTATTTCTGATTATAATCAGTCCCTGAGTTTTTCATGCAGGCTGCACATGAAAGTAGTCTTCTTCACATATCTCCTGAATAAGCTTCTGACAGAAAATAGACAGTGAAACCCCAGAACAGCGGTATTCAATAGGTACCTTCTGTGTGTGTGTGTGTGTGTGCGTGCGTGCGTGCATGTGTGTGCTCTGTCTTCTCGATCCCCAGTGAGTCGTGGAGGATGGCTGCTTATACTGAGCCAGGATCCTCTGGAGGTTTCTTCCTGTTAAAAGGGAGTTTTCCTCTCCACTGTCGCTGCATGCTTGCTTAAAATGAGGATTGCTGTAAAGTCACTGACACGATGCAATCTGCTGGGTTCCTTATATAGGAAATGTTTTTCTGATTGGCTTAATGAACTGACCTGAATTGGAATGTTTATTATGTGAAGTGCCTTGAGATGACTCTTATCGTGATTTGGCGCTATATAAATAAAATTGAATTGAATTTGTGGCACCCACACCAGGCTAGTGTTATTTGTGGAGATAAAACATCAACGTTGCGGTACAAACTGAGTAATAGGTAGAGTTGCTTTGCTGTTAATCAATCTGAGGTGAGATGTTCAAATATCAGTCATCTGAAGCTCTACTCTGATGTGGCTCACTTCTTGTTCCTGAAACTGGTGCACTGGAGCTTTGTTTCCCCAGAGTATGACTTACAAGAGATTCATTCCTACTAGAGACCACTACAAATATAATGGTTAAATGAGTGAACCACACCTTTTAAGTTACCCACTGACACAAACGAACACTTCCCAAGTTCCCAGAACAAGTCCCATCCTTACGTGTTGCAGCCGGAGCAGAAGAAACCTGACCAGAGAAGTAAAAATCTTGGGAGTAGAGACTTGATCTAAGTTGCAACATCTCATTATTCGTCAATCTGTGTCTCCAAATTCTTAGCAGATAATGCTCCAGTGTCCAGTGGTAACCACATTCAGTATGAATAACTCATTGAGGTCTGGTATTAACTGACCTGTGCTGATAAGATTGTCTGGGGCCCCACACCTCATGAGGATTCTTATCTTTAAATACAGTCCAGATGTGCTCACACACTCCTGCCAGAATGCACAGAATCAATCAGGTACGGAGTATCATTGTGTTTCCAGAGAACAATGTGAGAGAATCGCTACTCATATCCCACCTTGTTGGCTAAGCTGACAGCATTCAGGGCCTGCTCCTGAAATTGCTGGCAGTCCCACTCGACATAAACTGTGGCGAGGAGCCGCAAAGCCTTAGCCTGTAGAGAGAGGAGAAATCCTTTTCATCATACAGCTGTTGCCATTGCTGTCACCTAATTGTGTTCTGTCTTACCAGAACATCTGATCCAGGTCCATACTTTACGTTTGTTTTCCCGATGTCATAGCTTTGGCTAAAAAAAAACAAGATTCTCACCGTTTCGTTTCTGAGCACTTGAATTTAAACTTTAAATATCGTCTTTACCCGAGCCAGAAAGAACTCTCCTCAAACTTCCTGAGATTGTACATTTCTAGTCCAAAGTTGTAGCACATGAAGGAGAGGTACGCCGTCTGTGTTCAGAGAGTTTGTTCACAGTTAACATCCCCCTCACTTCCAACAACAATATGTGCTGTGAATGTGATAAATCAATAAATATATATACTGTTGTTAGAGTGATAATAGAGGGATTTTTTTTACATCTTTTGGGAGTCGTTGCAACATGTCTTTACAGCGCTGCACGTAGCCCACAGCCTCATGGTGGTTCCCTTGAGTTAAGGCCTGTAGAGAAGATCAGACTTGAACTTCCTACTAAATGTCAGGAAACAATGTGACACTCACTATCAGCTGCTCTAAATTTCCCCCTCATTGTTTCTCAGTTCACATTTTTGCTGTCTCACACTTCACACTGCAAGTCTGTCAGAACAGCACTTCCTAAGCTGCCAAATATCACAAGAACAAATATTCACATTGAAGGTGTCGAACATCACATCACATGCTCACCGATTCTGCCTGGCATGACAGAATTCTAAGTAGATCCTTCTCCACATCCGCCTTGGATGAAGAGCTGTCAGCTGCTGCATTGCTTCTGGTGGTTAGCTGGCTGTAGAGGGTTTCCAGGCTCTAGGGATGCAGCATCAACAGTCGTTTGTAAAAACACCATATTTCTGTTTGCTCTAAACTTGCACAGGTCTCAGCTCTCTCTCTCTCTCTCTCTCTCTCTTAGTTTGTGTGCTCATTTTTTATTCACCTTGACAGCAAGCTTCAAGAAATGATCTGCCATTTGGGGATTTTTGCAGTCCAGCCAGGTTTTCCCTGTTTTGCTGGCCATCTGTAAAGATTAGACACTGACAAATGGGCCTTGTTCTCCTGAAACGCTGAGCACTCACTGAGGATACCTGAAGCACTTCTCACCAGGATCTGCTTGCGAATGGTGCCCTCTGTTGGATTGTCAGGCTCACAGTAGTAGAGCAGACTGCATGCAACATGACGGACTGCATAGGAAAGAAAATGTTGCAGTATAATGCAATGTAGCTGTGACTCGCCCAGCTCATGCCTCACATTGTGTCAAATGTTTAATATTTTCTCTTGCTGTATTTATTATTCATTGTTGGAACTACAAATAATAAATACAGACAAACTAGGATGAAAATGGTACCTTTAGCCTTGGAAATTTCACTTAAAGCAGCACCCTTGTGTTTGGTAACTGCCCAGTTCCACAGCTGAACAGCACAGTCCTCAAGCTGCAGAAGACAATGCAGCTTATATATATTAATACACATTAATAATAAAAATTATAATACAATTAATACATTCTTATACGTTCTGTGATAAACAACTTCAGCATAAAAACCTAATAACTGTGCTGAAATATAGGTTATTATATGTTGAAATATTAGTTCAGCACTTGTTTACAAACATTATGTCAGACTTTATTTGAAGCAATTTGGACCAGTATTGATCCCTGACTCTGACTGTGGGCTCCAGACCCTCTGAACATACCTTCACATCTGTTATCTTGGGTAAAAACTCTAAGCCAGAGATTTCAGTAAACAGTTCCTCTATAACTGCATCAAAATCTGTCAGATGTTTCTGCAGCAACTGTTCTGTGAGACCTGAGTAAAGGCAGAAGCAGATAAAAGAGTAGTCAACAAGACCCAAACAACAGATTAGGCCTCCACACACACACACACACACACACACACACACACACACACACACACACACACACACACACACACACAGAGTCTACAGAAATCCACCTAAAACTCAGACTGAGAGCAAATCGGAGTTCATAATGGAAAATCTACAGAAAATATTTCTAACTGATCAGGGTTTTTCCTGCGTTCAAATTTGTGTGGCGGCTGCCTTCAGCTATTTTTGTGCCGCCCCAGCCTGATTTCACTCTGCCCCCAGCTACATGGATGTTATTTTAACTGCAGTTGCAGCGTTGCGCCACTTAAGGGGCGCTGTATCAACAGCGGTGCACCAAAAAGCGCTAAAACCACTGCAGAAAAAGATGATCAAAAATTGCTTTTCTCGCTAGTTGGCACATATCTATGGTTGGTGCTATTGTAGGGTGACCATACGTCCTCTTTCCCCCGGACATGTCCACTTTTCAGTCTCTGTCCGGGGCGTCGGGGGGGGGGGGGGGGTCCCTACATTGATCAAAATGTCTGGTTTTTCATCCAGGAGCAGGGATTGAGTTATGGGGGCTAGATAACTGTCAGGGACAGATACAGTTTCTGCCTATTTTACAATATTTATGAACGCTCAGCGTAGCGGGACTGTTGAGCGAAGAGGACACAGAGCGCTCATCGTTGGTGCGCCCGCTGCATCCGGTGCACGATACATTCTCGAGGTGGTGCAAAAAAAGATTATTATTAACACATGATCGTTCATATCTGTTTAAATCCTCTGGTATTCTGTCTTTTAATCATTCCTGACGCGCTTATCCTGTGCTGCAGTGATTTCACCTCGCTGACGCACCATCGAAAAGCGCACTCCGCTTTGCGGTCAGGAGATCCCTTTGATCTGCTCAAAAGTAACTGATGAGGTGAAAAAGTAAGAATCCAGGCATCACTCTTTCTGGAGAATTTAGAGGAGATGCAGGAAGATGAGAGACAGACAGGACAGGAAAATAGTTACATAAAAACAAGAAAACAAAGTGTTGAAAAGTAAAATGTAGGTAGATTTATCTCCACTACACGTTTTTACCTGTATAAAACAATAAGTTGTGCATGGGGTTGTCACGGTGTGAAAATTTAACCTCACAGTTATTGTGACCAAACTTAGCACAGTTTTTGGTATTATTGCGATATTTTTTTAAATGTGTTACATTTTCAGACAACTACATAAACCCTGTAAGCGCCTCGTGATTTTTATCTTGAGAGGCCCTATAGAAATTATACTTTCTTCTTCTTCTTCTTCTTCTGTATATCAGGATAATATTGTCCTCAGTTTGTGTCTAAATTTCACCTAAAATTAGTTATTTTGTAATAATGTTATTTGTTTACATTTTTCCCCTTTAGTCTTTAAAATACCAAAATTTGCCCATAACTTCTTATTTTTTGTCTGTTTGATGTCATCATTTAAAAAATATTAGATCAGATGATACTCAGTACTCAAGTAGCCTTCTAATCAGATACTTTTCTACCCTTACTTGAGTAATAAACCCTATATCAGGAAAATATTGTCCTCGGTTTGTGTCCTTCCAGTGAGCTTTGTAGATTTGGGAAAATGTCATCAGGCAGTAATCATTGTTAAATTCATAATTATTCTTGGAGAGATGCCAACTCTTATCTGCCTCTGGGAGCCCCGTAACGCATAGCATCATTTCAATATGGGGGTGTCTGCGACACGGTTTATATGCAGGTAGCGGCGTTGCGGCTGCTTTATACAGCGACTCGTTGCATTCTCCCTCAACCCAAATCCTCGGATCACGCATTTTAGCTAAAACGCTAACGTTAGCTTGCCTTGCGTTGACTGTAGAGTTGTGGGTGATGGTCACGCAGATGTGTCATGAGATTTGAAGCGTTGCTGCCTTTCACAGACACTTCTTCCTACACATGCTGCAAACAGGATAGCCGTCTTCTATTAACTGTCCCTCGGCATTCTTCAAATATCCAAAAAATGCCCATACTTCCCACTTTGTCTTCTTTGAGGGATAATAAATGTCCTGAGTGCTGCCGTCTCCTCCTTTAGCCATTATTTCAGCTTTGGCTTCAAGAAAGTTTTGGTTGTAAACAACAATGTGCGCATGTGCCGCCGGCAACTTCAGCAGATGATACGGTGGCTGGTAGCTGGTAAGGGTCACCGCGCTTACACCGCTGCCATGGTAATCCACTGAGATAAAAAAATTTTTTTAAAAACAATACGGTTATTATTATTGTCAACTTTTACTGGGGTTTACCACTACACCAGTTACCGTGACAAGCATAGTTATACACATGTAATATTTATACATCTGATACAATTCAGATCACCTTCAAAACTCAGTCACACACCCAGGGCCATTTCAAGGCATTTTGGGGGCCAAGGCAAAACGGAACACCCCCCTAACCCTAACCATCGACCCTAACCCGTACATAATAGACATGCCATCATTACATTGTTAGCAGCAGAAATTAAATGTTATTACCATTTCCAATACAAATGCATGTTAATGAAATGCATTATATTTTACTGGATATATTTATGTGTTGTTTTGACTAAGATGAGTGTTATTAATACAAACCTAAAATGTTACTGAAATGCAGATCAAATATTTAAAAATATTTTTAACTATAAATGTCAGATGGGAAAAAGGGAACTAAACACTAATCTAATGCATATTATTGAGCCTTTTGTAATATTTTGCCTTTAAAAAAGTGAGGTAGTTCAGTTGAATGCACAGAATAGGCATGTGCTGGTGCAAGGTCAGGATGGTACCACCTCTGCCTCAATTTGAGCCAGGAAAAACCCTGCTGATGTTGATTTGCACGACAAATATGGGACTGTATCATTTAAAATACATTTATCATATTCTATCTATTCCCCTCCTTAGTGTGTGAAATTCCCAAATGTTAAAAAATCTGTTCGGCTGATTTATTTGCTACAGAGAAAAGCATTTTGTGTTTATTTAGCCAGAATTAATTCAAGATGAATATACTTGCAGGTAGAGCTGAAACAACTAATCGATTTAATCGATTATTAAAATAGTTAACAACTTTTTTAGTCATCGATTAGTTGTTTAATAATCATATTTTACCGCATAAAGTCTATTTTTTACCACAATCTGACATCGGTTACAATCTGTGAAATTTGCCGCCAGTGTGTGGCAGTAATGAGCCACTGATCTACCAGTGGAGCCGTAGAAAAAGAAACGAGCCAATAAGTGCCCTCGGTTTTCATGACCTACCACATTATTGACGCTCATCTTGCTGTGAGAGATGGCGGAACAAGAAGAAATACGGAAGAAAAATAGAAGCGACAATACTGAAGAGAAACTCTGGACAAAAACCTCACGAGTATGGGAGCACTTCACTCTAGATGTCATGAAGACAGGTGACCTGCAAAATATGCAAAAACCATCTAGCATGGTACGGAAGCACGACGTCCCTAAGTGAACATTTGAGACGAAAACATGTGGGGGCTGATGCAGCAGAGGAAGAGCCAGCCCGGTAAGTATATAGTGGTCCATCACTACACGCAGATCAAATTTGGGACTTAGTGTTTTAGCTGAGTTCGAATGTTAAACATGTTTTTTTTGCCGCGTCAGTCTACGGTGTTCTACTTCTGATTGACTAAATGCAATTGTGAATCTCCGTGTTGTGAATCATGCGCTTGCCAAATTTAGCACGTCTGTTTATAAGAATGTTCTCGCTAAGAGAAAAACGGCACAAACCCATAACTATGTTCCTCATTCAAAAAAAAACAACTCCACGGAGAAAAATATACAGACGAGCTGTGTCCAGGTGAATATAACGCAGCATAGTTGTACGCTTTCAATTTTTAAATACAGGAGAAATTCAGAAAAAGTCTTTTTTTTTACTATTAAAAGGCTGTTTTACTATCTAACACTGTAAAACGCCTCACAACGCATTTTTATAAAGATAAATGATCACTGTATATTGTTAATTAAAGCTAAATTAAAATCATATAAAGCTCTTAATAATCAAGCTCCATCATACATCAGTGATCTGATTGTTCCATACGTTCCTAACCAAGCACTTCGCTCTCAGACTGCAGGTCTACTGGTGGTTCCCAGAATATCTAAAATTAGGATGGGAGGCAGATCTTTTAGTTATCAGGCTCCTCTCCTGTGGAACCAGCTCCCAGCTTTAGTCCGTGAGGCAGACACTTTGTCTACTTTTAAGAATAGGCTTAAAACATTTTTATTTGATAGGGCTTATGGTTAAAATCTGATGTTAGCCTAAATCTGGACAAGTGGGGGAGTACAGGGAGGTGGAGTGTACAGTCGGTAAAGACGGCTCTCCCTTGCCCTGACTCCAACATGCCTCCATCTAAATTGGATAGATTATCCAGAGTTATCTCTGTAGTTATGCTGCTATAGGCTTAGACTGCTGGAGGACACACTGACCACTTTTCACACTCTACTGCTTTTTTCTACAGTCTGCTCTTTAACTGTACTATTTTCTGCAATTTCAGCTGTTTATTTTCTCTGTAAGTGTTTTTCTCCCCAGAAGAAGCTACAACGACGTTCTGCTGAGCTGTGGTGGCCTCATGGAGGGGGCCATCGACTAGCACATTGCTGCTAACCACTAAAACATTCTCCCTCTCCTGATAATGGCTTTTTGCTTTCCTTGACGTTGGATGTGCTAATACTAGTTTATCCGTTTAATTATAGATCCACTAGGATAAATACAATAAAGTTTATCTTTCACCAAATAGAATATTTACTAAGACATCACAATATAACTATAGACACATTACTAGTCTTTGTGAGTGTGCGTGCGTGCGTGTGTGTGTGTGTGTGTGTGTGTCTGCTCTGTCTTCTCGATCCCCAGTGAGTTGTGGAGGATGGCTGCTTATACTGAGCCAGGATTCTCTGGAGGTTTCTTCCTGTTAAAAGGGAGATTTCCTCTCCACTGTCGCTTTATGCTTGCTTAGTATG